GCGTGTTAGAGTGGCTATCGCGTGTTAGAGTGGCTGTAGCGTGTTAGAGTGGCTATCGCGTGTTAGAGTGGCTGTAGCGTGTTAGAGTGGCTGTAGCGTGTTAGAGTGGCTATCGCGTGTTAGAGTGGCTATCGCGTGTTAGAGTGGCTGTAGCGTGTTAGAGTGGCTATCGCGTGTTAGAGTGGATATCGCGTGTTAGAGTGGCTATCGTGTTATCTGCCTTTACTCACTTAACATCCTCCTGGCCTGTGAGTTTGTCCCATGACCCCCCCCCCCCTTCAGAGGAGCCAGCGAGGCTGATGGGATAAAGCCCTGCCCCGAGCGTTGCCCTCGGCAATGGTGTGGGCAACGCGGCTCTCACCACCCCTCCCCGTGGCACCCGCCCCGCCTCGCCCCAGAGCTGACCTGCGGACTGGAACCCGGGCCCCAGGAAGCCCACACGAGTGCGCGGACCGCCCCACGGCGCTGGGGGGAGAGGCGAGGGGCCCCGGGTGCCTACACCCCCTTCCCCGGTGCTGAATAATGGGGTGCTTCTGCCTCTTGGGACGGGACACCCCGCGCCAGCCCGTGCCAGCGTGACTGAGCATCTCCCGTCTCCTCACAGCCCGGCCTGGCCCTGGGCCAGACCCGCCGGCCCACTTCCTCCGGGGCCACCTTCTGGCTTCCTTACTCATCCCCGGGGAGGCGCCCAGGTGGGGCCGGGCGAGCTGGTGGCCGGGAGCCGCGGGAGAGGGAGCCTCCGCCGGCTCAGGGGGAGTGGCCCAGCGGGCGGGAGGGGGCCCCGGGCAGCGCGGCTCGCCCTGGCGCTGGGTTTCTGGGTCACCGGCCTCGGGGAATTCCCCGATGCCCAGAAAGCTGCTTACCTGGTGACTAACCGCCGCGGCTGCCCACACAGGATGCCCGGCTGTCAGGCTGCCTCCCAGCCGCCCTGTGCCCGCGGCCACGGCCGGGCTGCCCTCTCCCCGGAGTGCCCCGGGGCTCCGGGAAAGACAGACAGACAGGCAGGGGGTGTCCCCGCCCCCGTACCCCCCCGGGCTCCCCAGGGGGTGGCTGGTGATTCAAGCCCCTCTGAGCCGAGTGTGTCGCCTTCCTTGTGAGAGGGGGCCCCGGGGGGTGAATCAGATTCTGGGGGCGGCGAGGTCGGGTCAGCCACGGTGCTCACCCCGGGCCTGGGAGGCGCTGGGCAGAGCCAGGACGGGACATGGCGGCGGGGGCGGGGGGGAGGGGTTGGGGGTGAACACACTGCCGGGCCAGCCCCTCCACACGACCCATCTCACTTTAAAAAAAAAAAATGTATTTTATTGATTTTTCACAGAGAAGAAGGGAGAGGGATAGAGTCAGAAACATTGATGGGAGAGTCATGGATCAGCTGCCTCTTGCATGCCCCCTACTGGGGATGTGCCCGCAACCAAGGTCCATGCCCTTGACCGGGATCGAACCTGGGACCCTTCAGTCCACAGGCTGATGCTCTATCCACTGAGACACACTGGTTTCGGCCCATCTCACTTTTTCTGAGCCCCCCTGAGGCTCGAGGCTGCCCAGCCGTCCAGCCTCACGCTTGTCTGTCAAACGGAACAAGGAACCCCTGTCTCCCAGGCTGGGGGGCAGGACCCATGCCCACGTGTAGAGGGCTCGCTGGGCACCCAGAACTGCCCGGAGCCCCAAGCCCTCACCGCAGACCCGTGGTGTCGGCCCCCTCGTTCCCATTTTACAGATGGGGAGACTGAGGCCGGGGGCGATGCCCTCCCCAGTGCCACCCGGCTCGTGGTGGGCAGAGCCAGACCTCCACCTTGGCTCTGACCGAGGCAAACACACGCTGCAAACCTCCAGGCGCGATGCCTCCTCTCCGGGCGGCAGACTTTGGCACGGACCGCGTTTGGGAATGGCAAGGCGCGTGGAAATGTCCGTAGGCCACCCCGACCGGGCTGCTCAGGTGGTTAGAGCATTGTCCCCCATGTGCCACGGTTGCGGGTTCGAGCCCTGGTCAGGGCGATCCACACGCATCACAGACAGGTGGAACAGCAAATCGGCGTCTCTCTTTCTCCCTCTCTCTTCCCCCTTCTCTCTTTCCCCCCTTCCTCTCTCTCTATCTCTTCAATTAAATAATAACAACCTCCAAACAAAGCACCATGTAGCATCTACTCCCGTGTAATCCCGAGCCAGGCGCTGACTGTCCACAGCACCCGTGTCAGGCTCCAGCCCCGTCCTCAGAGGGTGGGGGATGAGACCGGTCCCCACCGTCCGGGCCCTGGAGGGCTGCCTGGAGGGAGTGGCCTGCAAGCCCGAGGCCTGGGCCCCACACCCCGCTGCTCTCCTGCAAACTCTCTCTGCGGAGCCTCAGTTTCCCCACCTGGAAAACAAACCGTCTGGGACATTCTAGGAGAGGCTGGCGGGTGACCATGACCAGAAAGTGAGGGGCAGGGGGAGGCGCCTCGGGGGGCCTGGGCAGGCGGGCGGCCGGGGCCTGGGCTCCGCAGCCCCTGGCCCAGGCGGGGGGCGCCCCCTGCGGGCCCCGAGGCCGGCCAGATCCCCTGCAGGCCCAGGGCGCGGGAGAGGACCGGCTGGGATGAGGTCACGGCTGGAAGGGGCCGGGCTGGGGCTGCCATCCAGGGTGGGGCCTGGGGTCACGACCCCGAGCGCAGGCAGCCAAGAAGGGAGGATATGCCTTCCGTGAGGAAGCGGGGAGAACACACACACACACACACAGCCGCCGGGAGGCAGGGAGGGAAGAAAACAAGCCGGAGGAGAGGCCGGAGCCGGCCTGGCCACGTCGCAGGCGGCTCCCCAGGCCCCCAGGGAGCCGGACATGGGCAGGACAGGCAGGCCGGGCCCGGGCCGTCGCACGTGGGGAGCACGGACCATGTCAGGTACCACGAGAGGGGAAACCGAGGCAGAGGAGGGGCCAGTCAGGATAGGGGTTTGGTGTCTCCCAGGCTCTGCCCCAACTTCCTGTTTCCTGTGGGGTGGGGCTGAGGCTCTGCAGCAGTGATGGGGGTGCCGGCAGGGTGGATGGGGGCCGGGGGGTGGGGCGGGCAGGGGGCGGTGCCAGGCCTTAGGAGGCCGGGCAGGAGGATGCTGGGGAGGGAAGGGGACGTGGGGGGGGGGGCGTGGGATGAAGTGGGGGGCGGCCACCGGAGAATCAGGACGTGTAGGGAGAGACTCAGGCAGGGAGACCCAGGGGGTCCCTCTGTGGGGCGCAGGGGGCCCTGGCCCCATGGATTTGGGGTCCATGTCTAACAGCCAGGCTGAGTCAGGGGACAGGGGATGGGTGTGGGGATCACGTACTCCCCGTGTCCAGGCCCTTGTGCGAGAGCCTGGGGGGGCGGGGGGGCATCCTGGGGGTATGTGCTGACCACAGAGCAGTGCATGGGAGGGGCAGGGGCCTGGGGGGCCTTCTTTGCCCTCCCCCAAGGGAGACACAGGTATTGGGGGGCAGGGCTCCCCCCGCCTCCTCCCTGCTGGGAGGGCTCGGTGGCAGCTTTATCGCCCCCATCCCAGGCCCCTGAACACGGGGGAGGGAGCTGCAGGGGGCAGGGGGGTGTGTATGGGGCGGGGGAGAGGGGGCAGCAGCAGGCACGAGGGCCGTCCTGGCACAGGGACGCCGGGCTGGGCAGGTCTGGGGTGCGGCGAGGAGCAGGCGTGGGGGGCACACGTGGAGGATGGGGAGGGGCGGGGGGAGCACGGGGGGCCAGGGAAAGGCCGTGGGCACCCCCTGCCCCCCCACACCTTGGAAAACCAGCTCTGGCGCCCCCCTTTCTGCTCAGGGTCAGGCGGGAGGGCTGTGCTGGGGTCCCAGGAGAATGTGTGGGACCGGACCCCTGCTCTCCGACCAGCACCCCCACCTCCTGGTGATTCAATGGCTGCCACACCGGAGGCGCCCCTGTGCTCCTGCCGCCCTGTCCCCCCGGATAGAGTTTGTGTCCCTGCCTCCGAGACCCCGACACACCTGTGGGACCAGGTGCAGGGCAGGTGGGGGGGGGCATGACCTCCATCCTCCCCCGCTGCCCCTCTGCACCCCGATCCATTGGCTAAGCCCCTGGGGTCTCCCCTCCAGAGGTCCCTCCTTCCCGAGCGGATGCCGGCCTGCCCTCCAGGAAGGGGGAAGGGGTGCTTAGGTCACACCCAGACCCCACCCCCATCCCCCCGGGCCCCTCCCCCAGCCGTGCGGACGTGCGGGGGGGGGGGGGGGATCCCCGGACAGCTGCGCCCCGGGGAGCTCCCCTTTGCCCGGTGGCCACGGGCAGGTCCAAGGAGGCTGCCACCCCTGAGGTGGCTGCCGGCACCCATGCTGTTCATTTCCGCTTTATCGCCGACTAAAGTCCAGGGTCCCAGCCCCTCTTCCTGGAATCTCCTCTCAGCCCAGCCCGAGCCTGCCTCCCGCCCATTGTCCCCCCCAAAACCCTCCATCGACGGGGGGGGGGGGGTGGCCACAGGGTGCTTAGTCTCAAGCAAACCTCCCCAGACCCAGGTGAGTCAGGGCTGTCTGGGGCGCCCACTGCCTGGGGGACCCTGATGACTCGGCCTTGGGGGACCCTGTCCCCCTCCGCCACCCCCACCCCCCACCCCACCCCACCCCCCACCCCCCCTCACCCCCCACCCCCCCAGCCCCCCCTTCCCCATCTTCAGGGCAGAGCTGCTCCGGAAACCGCAGCCAGTTTTGTCGAAGGAGAGTTCCTTATAATTTTATCAATCAGATTCTTAGAAGCGAGGGAAAAGCCTGGCCTCCCCCCCCGCCCCCCCGCTCCCCCCGCCCCCCTTTCACTCTCACTTTCTCCCATTCATAATTTCCTATGATGCACCTCAAACAACTTCCTGGACCGGGGATCCCTGCTAAATATAGCCGTTTCTCTGTCTTACACCACAGGCTCCAGGGTATAAATCAGGCCCGGCTCCCACCGAGCATGAAGCTCTGAGAAGGGCCGGCGGCGCCTCCTCCTCCTCCTCCTCCTCCTCCTCCTCCTCCTCCTCCTCCTCCTCCGGCCCGCGGAGCGCAGCCCAGGATGAAGGTCCTGGCAGCAGGTAACCGGCCGCCCGCCGCCGCCCAGCCGTCCGCCCGGGAGCCGCCGGGAGCCAGCCCTCGGATCGGGACGGGACGCCCGCCCGCCGCCCGGCCGCTGGAGGCGCTGGGCGCCCGCGGGCCCGCCGTCCGGCCGGGAGCCGCCGGCACATGGCCCCGGCCCCGTGCGCCCGGCCGGCGGGCCGTCGGCCGAGGAGGGGGCGTCCAGCCCTCCTCCTCCTCCTCCAGCTCCTGCGGCTCCTGCTCTCCAGCTCCTCCTCCTCCTGCTCCCGCTCCGTCCAGCCGTCTCCCGCTGCCTCGGGACTCACCCTCCTCTCTCCGTCCGGCTTTCCGCTTTCTCTTTCCCGTCTGCGCCCGGCCGCCGGGCCCTGGCACTCCGGCCGGCCGCAGGTGCCGCGCCCCCGCCGGCGGGAGCCCGAGCTGCCGCGGGCTGAGCGCTAGGTGAGGGGACCCCCCCCACCCCGAACCCCCAGGTGTCCCGGGGGCTCTGCATGGCCCGGGATGCTGGGAGGAGCGGGATCCTCGGGGAGCGAACTTGAACTTGAGGCTGTCCCAGCTGGGGGGGGGGGGGTCTGAGCAGGAAGCTCCTGCACCCCGCCCCACCCCCAGCCTCTGGGTCCCCCCAGACTCTGGGGGTCCCCCAGACTCCGGGCTCCGGGGTACCCCAGCCCCGGCCCCCCGGCTACAGAGCCACCTGGGGAGGCCCCTCCGAGGGGACCTGGGAGCGAGCAGCGGGGAGAGCGGACGCCCTAGGGGAGGGGCGATGGATGGGGAACGGGCCCCAACAGCTCCCGGCTCTGCTGCCACCTTTCACTTTCTTTCCTCCCCGCCCACCTGTCTGCCCGCGACCTTTTCCCTCCTGGTTGCACCATTATTTCCCTCTCTTCCCCGGGAGGCTCGGGGGCCTGTGGGACCCCCTGTCCTCGCGCCCCCCTCACTGCAGCCCCCGACCCAGGGCCTGGGGCGAGGAGGAGGGGGGAGGGCATGGGCATGGAGCTGAAGTGCCGGCAGGGCTGGGGAGGGGGGCGCAGAGAGTTTGGAATGAGGATTGGGGATGGATGGGGTTCAGAGTTCTGGCAGGGGAGGGGCCGCAGGGGGCAGGGGGGGGCAGAGATAGCAGAGATGAGGGGGGGGGGACCGCATGACGTGACAGATGTGGGAGGGGTCAGTGGGTCCGCAGAGAACCGATAAAACAGCAGGTGGGAATCTGGCCGTCCCGGGAGACGGGATCAGAGGGGTTTTGCTTGTGTGTGTGTGTGTGTGTGTGTGTGTGTGTGTGTGTATGTGTGTGTGTGCGTGTGTGTGTGTGTGTGTGTATGTGTGTGTGTGCGTGTGTGTATATATGTGTGTGTGTATGTGTGTATGTGTGTGTGTGTGTGTGTGTGTGTGTGTAGACCCCCTGGGCGGGGGCCACGGGGCCTCCCAGCCAGAGGGCCAGGGGCTCGGGGCTGGAGAGATAGATGTCCCTCTGGGTGACAGCAGCTCAGGGCTGCCCCTCCACCCCGTTCTCAGGGAGAAGCAGGGAGAGAGAGAAGAGGGCGGGGAGAAGCGGAGGCAGAGCCAGCCGTCGGAGAGAGGGAGCCGCACAGAGGCCCGGCCGCACGGAGCTGGAGCTGGAGGCCGGGACGGGGCTCGGTGCCCCGGGGCCGGCCAGGGCCCCACTCTGCCCGGAGCCCCCTCGCCCACCCCGCCCTGCCCGCCCCTGACTCCTCCTCGCCTGCCCGCCCCCAGGAGTCGTGCCCCTGCTGCTGGTTCTGCACTGGAGACACGGGGCGGGGAGCCCCCTGCCCATCACCCCCGGCAACGCCACCTGCGCCACCCGCCACCCCTGCCACACCAACCTCATGAGCCAGATCAGGAGCCAGCTGGTGCAGCTCAACGGCAGTGCCAACGCCCTCTTCATTCTCTATGTGAGGCCCCGCCCCCGCCGCCACCTCCCCCGCCAGGCCCCCAGGAAGCGGGGGTGTCTGTGGCATGGACCTGGGGCCCTTTCGCAGCCGGAGGGAGAGAACGGAGAGGGGACTTGGTTCCACCTCCCCAAACTCCCACAGCCCCCGCCCCCTGCCCCCGCCCCGGCCCGGAGCCTGGCAGCCCGTTCCCAGTGCCCGGGGAGGGGCCGGGTTCGTGGGCAGGGGAGCGGGGAGATGGGCCTCCCCCCCACATGGAGCCAGAGGCCGATGAGGGACAAAGCGGACAGAAGTGGGGGTGGAGGGGGTCCCGCTGGGAGAGGCAGTGGCTGTGGGTGTGGGGGGCGCAGAGGGTGGAAGGGCACACGGGTGGGCACCTGGGCCCTATATGGTCCCGACCGACCGACCGAGGGGATGCGGCTGCCGCCGTGCCTTCCCCGGTGCACGCCCTGACCCTCCCCAAGTGCGCTCGCCCCGTGGCCGCTTCCGGCCTCGCCACCGTCCTGAGGGGCCGCAGGAGAGCAGGGGGTCCCTGTGCCACCGGGGGGGAGACGGAGTCCTCGGCTCTCTCGTCACCCCCTCCTCCTCCCCTCTCTCCTCAGTACACGGCCCAGGGGGAGCCGTTCCCCAACAACCTGGACCGGCTGTGCGGCCCCAACGTGACGGACTTCCCGCCGTTCCACGCCAACGGCACGGAGAAGGCGCGGCTGGTGGAGCTGTACCGCATCGCCGCCTACCTGGGCGCCGCCCTGGGCAACGTCACGCGGGACCAGCGGACCCTCAACCCCGCGGCCACGGGCCTGCACGGCAAGCTCAACGCCACGGCGGACGCGCTGCGCGGCCTGCGGAGCAACGTGCACTGCCGCCTGTGCAGCAAGTACCACGTGGGCCACGTGGAGGTGGCCTACGGCCCCGACACGGCCGACAAGGACGTCTTCCAGAAGAAGAAGATGGGCTGCCAGCTGCTGGGGAAGTACAGGCAGGTCATGGCGCAGCTGGCCCAGGCCTTCTAGCCGGGGCCACGGCCTTCCACGCAGGGGCCACGGCGCCCGCCACGGCCAGGGACTTCCACGCAAAGGGCCATGGCCTTCCACGAAACCGGCCACAGCCTTCCACGCAGGGGGCTCTCACCACGTGGCCAGGGCCCAAAGCCTCGCCAAACCCAAGTGCCTTCGGCCGGCAGACCCGACGGCTTCCTGGCGGGCTGGCCGGCCCGAGCCCCTCCGGGGAGGACTCTGCCAAAACCAAGCAAAAGTCCAAAGAGCTCCCGCCGGGCCCTGGAGCGTGTGGGCTGGACTTCTGCCCCACGTGTCCCCGTGGCCGCGGCCTTCGTGGCCGAACCGAACACTGACCTCCGGCGACCCTGACCTCGGGCGAGGCGGCAGGGTCGGGGGGAGGGGGGGTGGCCGGCCCCCGCGGAGTGACCGGCATCAGTGCCTTTGCTGCCTGTGGGCAGCCTTGGGGAGGCCGGGGCGGGCAGGCCACGGGGGCCGGGGTCCCAGGACCCCAGGGCCTCTGGGAGGGGGGCGTGGACGTCAGAGAAGGGAGCTGTGGTGGGGATGTTGGGCCGAGGGTGCCGGACGGAGGGGTCCCGGGAGGCAGCGGAGCCGCCCGCAGGCCGGGAGGGAAGACGCTGGGAGGAAGGGGCCCCGAGAGCCGGGACGGGCTCCCTCTCTTCGCCGCGTCCTCCCGGCGCGGGGCCCGGAAGGAGGGGTGTGCGGGGGCGGCAGGTGGCAGTCAGGTGAGGAGGCGGGAGGGACCTGGTCTCCCTCCGGGGCCGGTCCGTCCGGAGTGGGGGAGGGACGGCGCCGAGGCCAGGAGGCCCCGGAGCTCACACAGGGAAGTGAGGTCAGGGTCTCGGGGAAACGCTGAGGCCCCGGAGCACGCGAGTCTATTTATTGTGATGCCTTATTTATATTAACTTATTGGTGCTTTCCGTGGCCAGCGACCCAGCCCCCTTCCCCTGTTCTCCACCCCATAGAAACAATAGGGTGGCCCCTCTCGGAGCCAGGGCCAGGGCTGGGCTGGAAACGGAAGATGTTACACGTGGGAGGAGCCTCAGGGGAGGAGCTGAGAAATGCCCCCCCCCCCCCCGCTGTGTTTTGGGGTGACAGGATCCTGGCTGCCAGGCAGGCTGGGCACGCTGTGGAGTGGCTCAAGGGGTCCCAGGCCAGGACCGCATGCTGCTGGGTCCCAGGGGGTCATTCAGTGCCCGTTCTCGGGGTGCCCCTGGGGCTGTGCAGAGAGGGGCCCTGGGCCAGGCAGCCAGGGGGACCTGCCTCCGGACCAGCCGTCGGGGGTGGGGGGGCTGGAGCAGCCGGGACCCAGCGGCACCCAGCAGCCTCGCTCAGGGCGGGAGGCGCCTTCTGGGGGGCCCGGACACCCACGGCGGGCGGGCGGGCGGGCGCGAGGACCTGGCCGGCCCTCAGGACGGGGCAGGGCAGGGAGGAGGCCCTGGGATGCGGACCAGGAAGCTGTGGCCCCTCCCGGCCCCCCTCCCCACAGGCCCCCACCCATGTCTGGGCTCCCAGGCAGGGAACCCGATCTTTTCCTTTGTGCCCGGGCCAGGCCAGGGGAGGAACGCCCGCCCGCCCGCCCTCCGGCCGGGAGCTGGGGCAGCTGCGGGGAGCCGAGCTGAGCCGCGTCTGGCTGCTTCTCAAACCCCGAGCGGGCCGGCCGCCTCCCGTCCCTGCGTCCGTCCGTCTGTCCCAGCAACTCAGCCAATGCAGTGGCAGCACTTTCCCCCATCCCACCCCCACCCCCACCCGCACCCCCACCCGCACCCCAACCGAGAGCAGGTGAGCAGGCAGCACGGGGTGGGCATAGGGGGCGGAGTTGGAGTTGTCTGGACTAGGATGTCAGGGACCGTGGAGACCCCATGCTTTCCGACTGGCCGATGGGTTCGAATCTCAGCCCACTGCCCGCCTCCTCTCTCCGGCTCAGAAGGCCTGGCAGGTGGGTCACACATCACGTCAGCACCCCGTGGACACAGACACCCCCCCCCCCCGCTGCCCCCCTATGCCAGGCCAACCTGGGCCGCCTCTGGGGCTCAGGGGCCAGCACAGCCCTGGCTCCCTCGTCCCGCCCCCCGCGGCTCCCAGGCCGAGAGGAGGGCGAGGCCATCCCGTTGCATTCCATGGAGAGAGGAGCATCGGGGACCTTATTTATTATTTAAATCGTCAGGCAACAAAGCACCGCTGTTTATTTCTCTCCCCCCCTCGTTGTCCTCCCCCCCCTCTCCTGCTCCCCCTATTCTTGTGCTCTCCGTGGGGACCTGCCCCCTGACGGAAGCAGCAGCCCAGCTCTGCCCGGATGGCTCTCCAGAAGAGACAGCGTTGGAGTTGGGAATCCGGGAGAAGCTCATTTCCTTTCAGATGGCACAGATGCTTTCACCTTCGGACCGCCACCCCCCCTTCCCCCTCCTCCCCCGGGGCCCCCCCAAGCCCCCGCACCTGGGCGCCTCTCCCACCCACACCGCGAGCCCTCCCGGTCCCCCCCACCCCCGTCCGTCCTTCCTCCTGGACGGGCCTTGGCCTTGGGGACAAATTCCTCTGTGATGAATGTACCCTGTGGGAATGTTTCATACTGACAGAATTATTTTTATTTATTCAATGTCATATTTAAAATATTTATTTTTTTATACTGAAGGAATCCTTTTTTTTTTTTTTAAGAAGAAGAAAAAGAAATGAATAAAGAATCTGCTCTTGGCAAGCTCTCCCGAGTGTCCTGATGTGGGGAGGTGGGGCTGGAGGGGTCGGGGAGGAGGTCTGTCCTGCGCAGGCCGCCGTAGGGTGGGGCCCTGTCCCGCGGAGGGTAGGGGGTGGGAGAAGGGGTGCCTCCGCCCCTTCCAGGGGGGCCAGCGAGGGCGAGGGAGGGGACGGGCTGCCCAGAAGAGGGGAGGGAGACACGTCGGTGTCTTCGCTCCTTCACTCCTATCCCTTCCCTCACCTCTGTGATCCCATGAGTCCCATTAAACAGAGGGGCAAACTGAGGCTCAGAGCTGTGAGGCCGCGTGCCCAGGACCACAGCCGCTCAGGGCCACCCTCCCAGGCTGCCTCCCCTCCACGGAGCTTCAGGGACCTGGACCCACGGTCGGCAAACCGCGGCTCTCTGGCCCCTGGAGTGTGGCTCCTCCACAAACCGCCACGGCCCTGGGCGAGTCTGTGCTGAAGACGTGGCGTCCGAGGGAGTCGAAGTTTAAAAACCGTGGCTCTCCAGAGACACGTCCGGCGTGGTCCTATTGGTATTTGTGGACAAGTGCGTTTGCCGACCACGGCCTGGACCACACCAGCTGCCCAGGCCTCCGCCCTCGGACTGGACCGTGACCCTTCGCGGGGAAGTGCGAGCCGCGGGCGTGAGTGAATGAACGAGTGAATGAATGGCTCTGCAGCAGGAAGTTCAAGGTTCCTGTCAGGGACCAGGCAGAATGCTGGGGCCAGAACCAGGGCCTTCCGGTCCGGCTCTCCTGGGCCTGAGCCGCCCTCCCCCGCGGACACGGCCATCCTCCCTGCTGCCTCAGCCCTGGGGCCTGCACCCCGCTCGCTCCCCAGTCCCCTGGGACCCTTCCCTTGGGGAACGAGGGAGTCTGAGACCACAGGGCCACAGACACCGAGCATGGCCCCTGCACGTGGCTCTGGGGTTGGGGTCTGGGCTCCCCCAGCGTTGGTCCATCTGGGGCCTGGGACGTCTCTCCCGAGGGTCCCTGGGCGCTGGTTCACGGATGTCTGTCCGGGTCAGGCCCCGTGCTGGCGAGGAGACCCAGTCCGCTCCTCCCAGGCGCTCCCAGGCCCGTGGGGACCATGGAGGAGCTGCCTGGGATGTGGGAGTGATAGGAGGGGCGCCCGCAGGTGCAGGGGGAGGTGGGGAGACCCCTGGCAGGGCCCCCCTGCTTCCTGTGCAGTGACAGCCACACCCGGGAGCTGATCAGGAGCTCCCCGACCCCCCCCCCCCAGGCCTGCTGTGTCCAAGCCTGCCCCCTCCCCTCCCCACCCCAGATCCCAGACAATCGGGGAAGTTAGGCCTGAGCCAGCTGCTGGGGCGAGGCCTGGAGCCGGCGCACAGCTGTTTCGGCCTCGTCCTCCCCAGCCCCAGCCTCGGCCCCTCCCTGCGGCTCCGGCCCACGCCAGGCCACACCCCCGAGCCCTCTCCTTCCCCTCGCTCCTGGGAGCGAGGTCCAGCCTTTTCCAGAAGATCCCTTTCCGAGGAGACTGGGGGAAACAAAGCAAACGCCACCGCACAGGGACGAGGGGCGATGCGGGGGCAGCCCCCCGGGCCGTCCTGCGGGCGGGGGGCCGGGGGGCACCTGGGCCGCAGGCTCCGCCGCCTCTGTCTGGGGGGCTCTCACTCAGGTGCTCGCTCCAGGCCTGGCCCGGCAAGAGAGCCAAGGTCTGCTCCCCGGTTATTGGTGGCGGGAGGGAGGTCCCTGCTCTGCTGGGAAGCCTCCACCCCTGAAGCTTGGGCCCTGTGACCCCCCCCACCCCCACCCCCGGGGAGGGCAGCTCCCCCGTGGGGAAGGGGGTCCTGGCCGCTCACAGGGCCGCCCAGAGGAGCCAGGAGGCCGCCATGCCGTGTACGTGGGACCCGCAGGTGGAGGGGGGAGAGAACGAAGCTCAGGCAGCCACGCCCGCCCCCTCCGCGGGGCAGGGCCTGGGGGTCCTCTCCCCTCCCCTGCTGGCTCGGAGGCCCAGGCCCGGAGGCCAGCGGGTGGGAAGGGGGCGCAGAGTGGGCCTGTGTGTGTGGGGGGAGGCACTATGTGTGTCTGTCGGGTCGGGGGGTCAGACCAGCCTCGGTCTGGGGTTCCGGCGAGAAGGAATTCAGAGCCAGGAGCCCGGACGGTAAGAGCGGTTCCTGGGCCGACGGCAGAGGCAGGAGGAGCGGCTCCTGGGGCAATGGGCCCGGCAGGCAAGTGCTCGGGGCCAAGGCAGGGCCCTGGGAGCTCGGCAGTGAGGGAGCTCAGGGGGACCCAGCCCCGTGGTCGGCAAACCGCGGCTCGCGAGCCACGTGCGGCTCTCTG